GGACTTCACTGGAGTTACCCCGGATTGGCTGCAGTGCTTATCAGCAGGATGTGGGCCGGGGGGGTGAATGTAGGCCAGGTCTGAGCATCTTAAAGACTCTGACTATTTACGCATCCAACTGGCCAGAGAAAGGAAGCTTTCCGGGCCCCGTACTGCCCATGTGCCTCAGGTCTGAACTGCTATGTCTTTTTCTGCTGTCCAATCAGTCCTTGGCCTCTGCTGAGGTCAGGGCCGGTTTTAGGAAGTGCGGGGCCCAATTGGTGGGGCCGGGGCCGCACATGCGCCGCGTGCCCGGGGTGAGGCCCCCCTCTTAAGTGCGGGGCCCGATTCGGGGGAATCGGCCTAAAGCTGGCCCTGGCTGAAGTGGCCGGTAACCATGGTAATTAGTGCCACCTCTCACTCTTTAAGAATGGAGACCTTCCAAGTCATTCCATTTAGACTCCCACAGAGCTGCAATGTGGCTTCTGCTCCCTACCCGTCAGGCACAGATGTGAGCCAGCTGTGTAGACGCGAATGGTTCTGGATCCCATTTCTAACCCCGCCAGGCCTAAAAAGGCCGGATCCTCTAGAGGAAGAAAACTGTCTGATCTTAACAACAGAACAGCTTTTCCATCTCTCCTTGCAGCTCCCGTTCAGACTGGCCTCTTCCAGACAATCCTGGTTCAACACCAGCCCTTCTGTTATGGTCTTTTTGGTGTCGCATCCACCACCATCCATTCCAGTAAGGTTACAGATAGAAAATAGAAAGGTGGCAGAGCATGAGAGTGAGAGAGAAAGTTTTAGGCCCAGATTGTCAAATCTTGGCCTCCTTTTGAGCACTTGAAATTTACAGACACAATTTGATACCTATGATTATTTTGTGGGCACAATTTAAACCACTTAGCTGCCTAAATACAAACACCCAATTGGTGACTGTAAAAGTTATCCAAGTGGCCTGGCAAAACAGCAGGCACAAAAACAGATGCCCTCCTGTGACAATTAGGTTTTGTTAGCAAGCTAAGATGATACACACGTTCCCCAGACACGGCACATCAATGTCAGTGTGAGGTTTGCTGGAGTCTGGGTTTCCTCTTATCCTGGCCCAGGTTCACCAGAACATTGGCCAACATGAGGATGTGACAGGAATTCTGCCTCAGCTGGTTCTTAGAGAGACAAGGTGGGTGAGGTAACATCTTTTATGGTAAGAAAGACACGCTTTTGTGCCAGCACAGAGCTCTTCTTCCCGAAAGCGCAACAGATATTACGTCAGCCGTCTTGTCTCTCTAATACCCTGGGACTGACACAGCTACAACAACACTACCCATCACCCGGCTCTGGCAGATTTGAACGGAAAGCCTTGTGTCACTGGGCAGGGGAGAAGAAAATCCTTGCTGTTTTTTAAAGTTCTTCTAAACATAGTTCTTCAGAGAGGCCTTCAGAACAGTGGATGCCACTGGCTGTGCTAGGGGAGTCAGGCAGGGAGAGCTGCATAGCTCAGAGGAGCTGACAGACCCAGCCGGTTCATCCTTTATTTACATTTTTCCCTTTCAGCTTCCCACGGTTCATTCAGCAGCAACGTACAGGAGTGCAATGTAATATCCCAGCAAGAGACCAGCGGGCTTGGACAGTCAGGCAGAACAGCCCGTGCACTGCCACGACTGCCATGTGTGTACCCCCAGAGTGTGTAATACAGCGAGACTAGGGACAGGACAGACGGGTCCCTCATCACCTCTGAGTGGGGAAGCAGAACTCAAGAGTCGTGCTGGTGCCAGTGTAACCCACACACCTAGTATGGTTCACTGTCCCATGCAGTGGCACCTAGACCACAGCAACAGTTAAGACCAAGAGACCTCTACAACATGGGCTGGGAACTAGCTGGCTTTTAGAGTAGAGGTCCCAGGTTCAAATCCGCCTGGTGATGGTTACACCAGCAATGTGAAACCATCCCCCAGGATGCGAGTAGTTATCTGGGACCAGCTGAAGCAGAGTTATGGGCCCTCCCTGAGATTTGATATATACCCAAGAGTTTCACCCTCGGGGGTCTTCCCTGCTCTAAATGGAAGGAAGGACCCTGTTTCTACAGCTAGTACTTCACTTATGGGAAGTCCAGTGTCTCTAGCATTTCAGGAGCTAAAGCAGACCAGAGAGGGAAGGACACTGCCCAAGGACCCATCCATGCTACACAGGCACTGACAAATTACTGTCACAAGAGATGGTGCCAAACCGCATCTTCCATTAGAACCGCTTTGGGCAAGGACCTGCAACCCCAGGAGCTTGGCTGGAGAGGATGGAAGTTGCACAGGGAAGAGCTGAGTGTGTGAGGTTGCTGTAGCTCAGGAGAGAGCAGAAATCCCAAAGGAGTCTCTGGTCTCTCCCCTTCTATTTCAGGGCTGCATCTTAGCAACCTGGAGGCCAGTGCTGAAGCAGCCTGGAACCTGACCCTTGAACTGCTCTTCTTCAGGATCCCAACACACTTGGTCCAGCTCTGGTTGCTTCTCATCCTCACAGGACAGGGGCCTCTCTCTGAGCATCCTCCCCTCCTGGTTAAATGAGTCGGGAGCACTCAGGTGCCTCTTAGCTCTTTGCAGGAGCTGTGGGCATGTCTAGGCCAGCTGACAGGGGACTATCGTGCCCTTCTCCTCCAGGGACAGCTTGAAGGGCCTGCAGCATTCCAGAAAACCAGGATGTAAATGGGTAACCAGTTAACAGGTACCCAGCAGGAGCAGCCCCTGCGCGCGGTGCAATGTGGTAGACTGGTTTACAGAAACTACCCCCAGGAAAACAATTCCCTGTTTGCCTTGTGGTCGCTAGGCCTGGTCTACACTAGGGAGTTATTTCAAAATAACCCCCCTTATTTCGAAATAATAAGCAGAGCGTCCACACTACCAAGCTTGTTATTTTGAAATAACGGGCTGTTTCTTTCTAAATCTGTACTCCTGCTTTCCTCGGGGAGTGACTCTTATTTTGACATAGCGGTCATGTGGATGCGCCGCTGCTGCTATTTCAAAATAACTACTCCCCCAGAGTCATTCAAAGTAATTACTCCCCAGTGCTTCCTGGGGCTCTAAGTCGAGGTAGCGAGTCCACAGTAATGGATCCTGCCTCGGATTAATCATGAGGCTTCCCCGTAGCATGGACACGCTATTTCGATTTTGTTATTTCAGGAGTTATTATTTAGTTATTTCGAAATAATTTCCTAGTGTAAACGCCCTGGGAGAGCAACCACCAGGCCCTACCTCTTATGCCAACCTTGCTCACAGGATATGACCACAGCCCCAAGTGGTGCTAGCTTTCAAGGACTGACCCCTGTACCTTGTGATGAGCTACACCATTGTTTCCAGGACCAGCGCCCTGTCTCAGGCTACCAGTGCCACAGGAGCTGGTTTTCTTTTGTTCTTTGGGACAACATTTTCGTTTACGAAACCCCAAATTGATGGCTGATTTCCTGCCTCTCCCCTCTGTCATTCAGCCGCTGCCAGCGAGCAAACACCAGCTGCGAGAAGCCAGACTCCAGGGATTCCCAGCTGTCTGGTTGCCAGAGCTTCCCAGCTGCATGTGTGACCAGGGATGGGGTAAGCGTGAACATCTATGGCAGAGAGACAGGGGGTTGGCGAGGTTTTTTTCTATTGCTCTTCCATCCCTCACTGGCCCATGTAACAAAAAACCTGAGACCCTTTTCTAACCCAGCTTTGTAGGACTTCTGCAGCCGGACAATAGGCCTGGGAGGTACTGAGAGCTGTGAGCAGGGAGGAGGCTCAGCACATCTGAGGGTCACCCAACCCCACTGCTGTCCTCATGCCCTGGGGGGAGGGGAAGGACGGTGGCCCTTGGAGATCGCACTTGGGCGCCAAGGCTGTGGCAAAGCTAAAAAGAGGCAGAGCAGAGTCACAAGGAGTGGGACTAGGGTTGCCATCCCTCCAGGATTGGCCTGGGGACTCCTGGAATTGGCATTCAGTTCCTAGTGACTCTTGAAAGCAATCTGGGAGATTGAAATAGGAGAGTTTAAGAAAATGACATTATATTACGGGGGGTGGGGGAAATCTCTGGAATAGTGTCTGTCAGAGTTGGCACCCTAGGTGGGACAAGGACCCCGAAGGGAAGGGGAGGGTCAGGGTGATGTATCCCACCTAGTGAGGTCGACAGACTCACCCAGCCCCTAAGCAAGGCAGGGGGTGGCTCTGTGCTCCCAGAAGGGGCGGAGCCTCATGTGGAAAGGGCGGGGCTGGGAGCTAGCCTCCCCCAGCAGCCCTCAGCTCTGTCCAGAGTGGGCCAAGCGGGGCTCCAGCGGGGATTTAAAGGGCCCGTGGCTCCGGCTGCCGCCACCACCACAGCAGCAGCGGGGGGCCTCGGCCCTTTTGGATCACCGGGCCCCGGGCCAGTTGTCTCCTTTGCCTCCCCCTCGGCCCCTCTGTTGGCAGGCTGGTCTCCCCTCCCCCCATTCGTGAGCGACTGCTTGAGAGAGCTGAGATCACCGGGGCTGAGATGCTGTGGGGGTCTCCATCCCCTGCTGACAGCCTGGGGTGGATTTGGATAATGAGTGCCAGATGCTGTCAGACGGGAGGGGGAGAGATTCTCTTTGACAAGCGGCCGGGAGGAGCTGGTGGAGCGTGAAATTGGCCGGTCTTAGCGTTTCTCCAGGCTTCTGAATGGCCCTGCATCTTGCAGGAGGGTGGGGGAGGAGCGCGGTCCCTGGTTTCAGACCCAGTTCTGGGCAGAGCAGCCCCCACTCAGCCCTCCCAGCAGGAGAAGGGGGGGGCTAGAATCCAGCTGCGCCCCACCAGACCTCGCTGATTACCACAGCTCTCCCCAGAATAAGCCAGCCCCAGCTGGAGACTTCTCCCTCCCTTGCCTTTGCACCGGGGCCCCTTGCTGCAGCTCTCATTGGTCCCACAGTCCAGGGCTCGGGCTTTGGTTGGCGGAGAGGGGCGTCCGTCGCTTCAGAAGGCTCCACGTTTTTGTGACGGAGTCTGAGCATGTCCTTCCCCCTCCCCCACGCTAACACATAAACGCCCAGACACCTCACTGCTGCACTGAGAAACGTCCCCAGCCACAAGAGAGGCAGAGATGCGCACAGAGATGTGACACGTGCATGCAGAGACAGGAGGGACGTGCACACAGAGATGTGACACATGCACGCAGAGACGGGAAGACAAGCACCACTTCATGGGCACACGCGAATCCAAACGGATACGCACGTGTCCACACACATACACCCCGCTCCCCAATTGGGGATAGACATCTGGCTTGGTTGGCAGGCATCGGGCCTGGACATTTTTCACATGGAGTGCACAAGGCAAGTGCCACTGCCCCAAGGATCTTCTCCAACAAAACTCCTGCCTGGAGCAAGGAAACCAAACGGAGCTCAGTTCCCAGGCTTGGCAGCCACCAAGCCCAGCATGGGGTCTGAGGGGGAGATCCCAGCTCTAGGGCCGGCAGTGCTGCCCTTTTGAGCTCTGCCCCTGCCAACGGGACACTGTTGGCTGTGGACACGACTCTTTGGACAGGAGGTTAGACTCCTCATCGGAGACTTGGTGTGAGTGTCTAAGCAGCCGCTTCGTGCGCAGAGGTTTGGGGCGTGTTATTATCACAAACCATTAATGCCCTGCATAAGCAGAAGTCAGGGAAGGAAAACAGGAGAAGCCAGGACCATTCAGCAGCAGAACAAGCACCTTGATCCCTGGCACGTTGGAGGAATTTCTGAGTGCAGAGGAAAGCGGAGCCATCCCACACTCGGTCACTCTCAATTCACAGTCAGTTTCAATAACCTTCTTGGCCTGGCAAGCTATGAATGTGTGGCCAAAGTTAACCCTTCAAGTGCCCGCGGCTGGGACCCGTCTGCATGAGGGAAATGGAAGCTCACTAGTAATTCAGTTCATTTCTGATGCATGCAGAATCAGACTCTCCGTGTCAGCTTGACTTCGGGGTTTCCTTCCCTCAGCCATTCCTTCCCCCAAGCTCTAGAGAGGGCAGGCCAGGCTGAGCAGGCAGGAGTCCCTCTCCTGGCCACTACCTGTTAGTTTTGGCATAAGGAATGCTGACTTCTTTCCTATCTTTGGAGGACCCAAGACACCACAAAGCAAATCACCGATGCCTAACTGAACTTGTTTCCTGCTGCACAACCGGGTCGTCCTTGTAGAAGGGAGGCAAGATCACATCATAAGAAAAAAAGGGGAACAGACTGGTATGTGTCAGTCCCATGGTTTCTTTTCCAAGTGGGTTGCTTTATTAGGAGGAAGGACTGTCTAGTGGTGAGAGCAGCCTGGCAGGCAGGATTCACAGGGTCTGTTCCTGCACCTCTGGCATAAGCTTCCTATTTTCAGCTTAGAAAAGAGGAGACTAAGGGGGGATATGATAGAGGTCTATAAAATAATGACTGCAGTGGAAAAAGTGAACAAGGAAAAGTTATTTACTTATTCCTACAGTATAAGAACTAGGGGTCACCAAATGAAATTAATAGGCAGCAGGTTTAAAACAAAAGGAAGTTTTTCTTCACTCAGCTCACAGTCAACCTGTGGAACTCCTTGCCAGAGGATGCAGTGAAGGCTAGAACTTTAAAAAGGTTCAAAAAAGAGCTAGATAGATTCATGAAGGTTAGGTCCATCAACGGGTATTAGCTAGGATAGGTAGAGTGAAAGCTTGTTTTCTTCCACAATTGGAATGGTGTCCCTAGCCTCTATTTCTCTGGAAGTAATAGAGGGAGGGAGACAGGGGAGGGATCACATGAGGGTTACTTGTTGTGAACCCTCCCTCTGGTGCATCTGGTACTGGCCACTGTTGGCAGACAGGATACTGGGCTGGATGGACCTTTGGTCTGACCCAGTGTGGCCATTCTTATGTTCTTATCTGACCTTGAGCAAGTCATTGAAACAATCCATGCCTCAGTCCCTCCACATGTCAAGTGGGTGTTGGGGCACGGACCTCTTCTCCGATGCTGGATATGGTTGAAAATGCTTTTGAGGCAGGGCTAGACCAGCCTTATGTACCTTGGCTCTGACAAATGGCCTCTCTTTCACCCAAAAGCCTGGATCCAAATCAGAGGCAGATGCTAGTGATGGGGTGCCCATGGCATCACATGGGATGGCTTTTCTGAGCCTCACCGCTCCTAGTGTAACAGCTACACCCCAGAGGTGAAAACATCTCAGGTGTCTAGAATGATTCTTCTGCCTGGAGCAGCAGCAAGGCCAGAGAGTAGAGTCCAACTGGTTGCCAAGAGAGAAAAGGCAGAAGGTAGGAGAAGCAGCAGGTAAGGGCTCTGCCCACCACTAAGCACTTGATCTAATCTCTGCTGTGGTCAAAAGGCGTCTTTCCACTGACTTCCAAGAGCTTTGGATCCATCCTGAAGGCCCAAATTGAACCCAGTGGGAGTTAGGAGCCTAAATGCCTGAATGTCCCTGGCCCCATCCCAGCCACGGTCTCTAGCTGCCCCAGAGCAGGGGAACATGCTTTTTAATCAACCTCCAAAGAGGCTGTTTTCCCGCTCTGGGGATGTCCCTCAGGATCACCAGCTAGCCACTTAATGCAGCCAGGACAGCCAAACAGCCAGATGGGCTGGACCCCACAGTGACTCCTGGTTTTAAGGTTGATGTGAGCAAGGCCCATCAGGAATGACCTTGCCCACAAAGGATCCCGGGCAGGTGTCAGAAAATGATGGATTATCCTAAATAACCCAGCGGCCGGTAATGAGCCATATGTCACCTTAGCCCAGAAGGCAAAGAGGGTGGGGGAAGAGGGGTTAGCAGGGTCACTGACCTCACTCACATGGTTTTCCCTGTTCATCGTTTGCGAGTCACTTACAATCTGGAAGCACAAAGCAGACCCTGGTGTCTCTGGTTTCTTTGGGGGAGCATCTGGTGGGGAATCTTCTTGTCAACTTCTGGATCCCGGGGTGCCCCGGGCCTCCTTTGCTTCATTCACAGCCCACTGCAGCGGTTCCCAACTTGTGATCTGTGGACCCCTGGTGGTCCACGACGGTACTGCAGGGGGTCCGTGGAAAGTTTAAAAATAAGGATTGGGCCCACCACGGTAGGCCTGATCCTTACTTTTTTTTTCTTTTCTTTTTCTCTCCTTAACTTTTCTTTTCCTTTTTCTTTTTTTTCCTCCACCAGAGGGGGGGGAGGGGGTCAGTGAATTTTTAATTGATTGAAAAGCAGTCTGTATGCTTGAAAAGGTTGGGAACCACTGCACTAGGGCACATGCAAAGAGGACACACCCCTGCCTGGGGCAAGCACCCAGAAATCAAGTCCAGCCTAAACAGCAGCAATAGCACGCCCCTCATTCTGGATTGCCACACCCATCCTCTTACCCCAGCCTCCCGGTGGAGCTGAGCTGGATGCTTCTGTTCCTGCCCGTGTCTTCCCCTACCAGTCACCACTGCTGTTTTGTGAGCTGAGTTGGTGCAGGGAATGTTTTGTGCTGTTTCTGCCACTGAGCTCTGGAAGACAATTACAGCGCATTACTGTTTATCATGGGGCTGGGAAGGCTGGCTAGCTACCTTCGCTCATTAGCTGCCCAGCTTTGAGCTCTCTCCCCTGGGATTGGATTAGGTTGAAAGGCTCAGGTGTAACCCCCCTGCTCCATCCCAAGTGAAGGGAATCATTGCTCACCCTGCTTGCTTTCAGGTATGGTGCTGTCTAACCCAGGTTGCTCACTCCAGGGAAAGGCCTAGCCAGACTCCTAGAGCTTTACAGAAGTTTGGGACTAGATCCAAATGTTGGCGCTGTCATTGGGAAACCTGCTTCCAGGCCATCTCCAAGCCAAGGGAAGGTGGACGGTTGATATCCCGGCTGTTTCCAGCAGACGTTCCATTTCTGCTGCCTGATACCCTGCTCCTCGGGGGCAATGGGCAAATAAAGGAAGATCCTAGGTAATCAGCAAGCTTCAGCAAAGAGGAAATAAAACACCCTTCTGAGCTCCAGAAGCCCATTTCCTTCTTTCCTTCCATTCTCCAGTATGTTCTGGATCTCTGATCATAAAGGTGAACAGCAAAGCTAACACACACACACACACACACACACACACACTCTCTCTCTCTCTCTCTGCACTAAAAAGCCTCCTGCCATTATTTCACACACTTTTCCTCCTTGTTCTTTACATTAGAAATAGCAGCTCCTGACACTTTCTTGCTGGCAGTCCTTGGAGGTGCAAATAGGACAGTGGTAGAAAAGTGACTTTTGCACTGTAGCTCTCTGAGTCTCCAGGAGAGGCTGTTCTATGAGGGCAACAGCACCACTGTCATTAAGTCAACCTGTGGAACTCCTTGCCTGAGGAGGTTGTTAAGGTGAGGACTATAACAGGGTTTAAAAGAGAACTAGATAAATTCATGGAGGTTAAGTCCATTAACGGCTATTAGCCAGGATGGGTAAGGAATGGTGTCCCTAGCCTCTGTTTGTCAGGGTATGTCTACACTACCCCGCTAGTTCAAACTAGCGGGGGTAATGTAGTCATCCGCAGTTGCAAATGAAGCCCGGGATTTGAATTTCCCGGGCTTCATTTGCATGAAGCCGGCCGGCGCCATTTTTGATAGTCCAAGTCTCAGCTCAGAGCTAAATTTACCAAAAGCTAACAAAAGAACTACAGTCCCTTATTCCAGTCTGACAGAAGGCTTAGAGCATTGGGAAGCCTAATCTGAACTAGCTAGTTCGTGCCGTGTGTAGCTGCGCGGCACGCAGTCCGAACTAGCCAGCATTTAAAAATGGCGCCGGCAGGCTTCATGCAAACGAAGCCCGGGAAATTCAAATCCCGGGCTTCATTTGCAACTGCGGATGACTACATTACCCCGCTAGTTCGAACTAGTGGGGTAGTGTAGACATACCCTCAGAGAGTGGAGACGGATGGCAGGAGAGAGCTCGTTTGATCATTACCTGTTCAGTTCACGCCCTCTGGGGCACCTGGCATTGGCCACTGTCGGCAGACAGGATACTGGCCTGGATAGACCTTTGGTCTGACCCAGTGTGGCCGTTCTTATGTTCTTATGTTCTAGACTGAGATAGATTAGTTTTATGGCTGATTTTTCTAAGTGCTCTGTAGATGCAGAGATGGCGATAGAGCTACATACACGTACAATCGCATGAATCATCCCTGATTATTCAAGACAGTCTGCATCCAGGGGCTTTCCCATGCGTGAAGACGGCAACCTCTGCCAAGAAAGGTGCAGTGAAGGGTGCGTGTGACTCAGCCGCTGAGAGCTCTGCTGGCCTCATATTCCTGCCTCTGGGTTAAGGAGTTATCTAACTCACGAAGAGTCACAGTGCTAGAAAGCTACGGGGGTGATGGACCTGCCAAAGCCACAGTGCTGCAGCACGCCTGTTTTTCTTGGAGGCGTACCTGGACTGCCCCCGGCACATGGGCCGTTTCCGTGCTAGAGGGGAGCTGTTCGGATGCTGTCAGCCCAGGGGGAGCCATGCAGATCACTGTGCAGTCCCTGCCCTTTGGGAAAAGCAAATGTGGTGTGCACCATGACTAGATAATGGTTTAGAACAGTACTTGGCATAATGGATACATGGGGGTTTCCAAGCATCCACTCAGTCTGATGTCTCCATAACAGTGCGCTACGGGGTGGGGTCTCTAGTACCAACAGCCAGTACTCACCCGATGTATGCACAGGGGACATCTAAGGCGTTACCTATCCCCGCTAAAAACTAGGTTCTTAAGGCAGGGTCACCAGTGGGCAACACGCCGGTTCTGTTCAGGCAGTGGGTAGAAGACACTGTCTCCTTAGCTGGCCATCGTGTATCCTACAATCAAGTTTTTTTGCATCAGGAGCCACCAGCTAAGCAAGATGGTGACGCCCACAAGAGACGGGAAGGAACACGCCACGGGGGAGGAGGATGTACTGGTTCCGACGAGGCACGGAGAATTAGTCTGGTATATCAGGAGCACGCCAGCAGACAGACTATCCTTCCCCCAGGCAGGGGCTCGCAGCCTTTTCCTCTCTGAGCCCCCTCCCCCAACACGCTATACACACTCCATGGCCCAGCTGTGCTGCTGCAACTGGATTTCTGCATATAAAAGCCAAGCAGGGCAATTGCACAGACCCCATGAAGCTGAGATGCTCCGGGTTCAACTTCAATCCCTTGTGGCAGGGCACAAGGCCCCAGGCTTCAGGGCCAGATTATGAAAGGGGCTTTAGGGGCTGCCATCCAGAAGCCTGGGCTAAGGGAGCTTGCTTAGCCCATGGGCGTG